TAGAATAATTTCAGAAAAGTGCAAAATTCAAAAATATCATTTTAAAATTCAAGCAAAAAGACACAGATGCCCCATTTACAACTTTTATTCCGAAATTAGTAAAATGAATGGAAAACTTATTATGACTAAGTAAAGTTTATAAACTGAGCATTTTTTTGAAAGCATGATTCTTTTCTCATTTTCTCAAGTTTTTATATTAAAATCCCTTGTGAATTTCTATTTTAAAATGAGTAAAATGAATTCAAGAATTGCTATTATCATCTTAAGTTTAGGAATTGAGAATATTATTCTTTCAGGTCATTTACAACTTTTGTTTTGGTTTTTACTACACTTCACTGGGAATTAACCATTTTCATTTATCAATGTTGTTTACAACTTCTGAACTAATTTTGACTACACTTCGTCATCAGTTATTAACAATTTTTATTTAGAATAGTCATTCATAACTTTATTAACAATTCATTAGAAATTAACTACTTTCCAAGAAGCACTCATCTCAGCCGTGGATGGCCATTGCCATTTTCCTCCTATTGCTGATTGGAATATTCCTCCAACCGGTAGGGGCCATGGCGATGAAATTGGCTGGTCTCCGACGAGAGGGTTGTTGACCCTTTTTTTTGTTTTTTCAAGTGGAGATATATTTATCTTTTTGCTTAAATTTTAAAATTCCGTTTTAGAATTGGTTTTTTCTATAGAAATTATGTATATTGGTTTTTCATAGACGCTGTCTAAACAACCCTGAACAAGTAATTCAACATTTTTGAAGATATTTTTAATACCTGATAGACATATGCAAAGGGAAAGATCTTTCAAGCAATTGTAAAGCTCCTAGTCCTACCTCTTTTCTACCTGGCTGTGACATATGCAACATTCTCAAATTTGCATAGGATTGGACAATTTACATGTGAAAGGTTAAGATTCGAAGGCATACTCATGTATTGCCCAATGATCTTCTTGTAATTTTAGTGGCACCTTACAAAAGGATGTTCACTCACTGCTTCAAGCATTTTCTAACCACTGTTTTTTTTTATAAAAAAATTCATGTTGTGTTAACTCTCCTTTTCCTGGTTTTTGCGACTTCAACTGGATCTTCTTTATTTTATAAAATTGATCCTTTTATAAAAGGGGAAAAACCTATTAGACGCATTAATGACATTGTTCCCACCAATTAGATAACGCCATTCAAGAAGCTTCTCAATTGATAATGCCAGATAGTGTGTTGGAGATCACCGAATATAATGCCAAGGATATGGGATCAGCGAAATATAAGGGATAGCGATAGATATGATATTTCTGTTATTATTATAATAATTGTAGAGATACAATAGGATATTCACCATATCACGCGACACCACGACTGTATACTTGTATATATATAGATGCTCTATCAGTAAATGAATATATCTTCTCCTCTACCATCCTGATTTCTTCATGGTATCAGAGCGGAGATCCAAAAATTTGATCTAAGAGCTTAGGTGTCTGAGCCACGAAATTTCCAGTCGCAAGAACCATCAGTACTCACGTTAGTCGTCATGGATGCAATGTCGCCATACTATATTCACGCCTCTGATAGTCCGGGGCATATGCACGTTGGAGAACCTCTCAATGAGAGTAACTACAATGAGTAGGTGAATGATATGAGAGATGTGCTCTTCGCCAAGAACAAAATTGGGTTTGTTGACGGAACCATCGCGAAGCCACCGGCAGACTCTACAGATCTGAATCACTGGATGCGATGTGATGCTATGGTGAAAGGGTGGTTAAAGAGCGCCATGAATAAAGAACTCAGGAGTACTATTCGCTACTCAAAAACCGCCCAGGATATATGGGTCGAATTGAAAGAAAGATTTGGCAAGAGCAGTGCACCAAGGGCTTACGAACTTCGACGAGCTGTCTCTCACACGAGACAAGACAAACAATCTGTACCCGTGTACTTCACCAAGTTGAAGAAGTCTTGGGATGAGATCGACTCGATTACACCGTGGCCAAAATGCTCGTGTAGAGGGTGCAAGTGTGATTTACATAAGCAACTGCTAGAGATGAAAGAGAGAGAACGTCTTTATGAATTTCTCATGGGATTAGATGATGTGTATGCAACAATCAAAACTCACATCTTGAGCATGAATCCATTGCCAAAACTTGGAACCGCGTACCATCTCATTGCTGAAGATGAACAGCAAAAACAGATCTCGGCTACACAGTCACCGTCGTTGGAGGTCGCGGCATTCCAGGTTCATCATGATCGTAAGAAGGAAAAGCCAAGGTGTGCACATTGCAATAAACTTGGCCACACCCAAGAGAAGTGTTACGACTTGGTTGGGTATCCCAGTGATTGGAAGAAAACTGGCCAGGACAGGCGAGATAAACGAGGAACACCAAGGGCAGCCCAAGTCAGCGAAGGAGAAAGCCCAGTGCCTGGGCTCTCGCTTGATCAGTATACGGCGCTTGTGCAGCAGCTGAATTTGCAGATCAAAGCCACTAAGTCAAGTGACGACCAACCAATAACTAATATGGCAGGTATCTTTTCGGGTAATGAGCCATGGATTATTGATACAGGGGCTTCCGTGCACATCACCAATGACGTAAGTTCAGCATCAAAGATCTAGGAAAGTTGAAATACTTTCTTGGCATCGAGGTAGCTCAATCACATAAGGGTTTTATCTTGAGCCAGAGGAAATATACGATGGATATCCTGAAAGAAACAAATATGACCGATTGTAGACCAAGCTATTTTCCCATGGAGCAACATTGCAAGCTGCAGAATAATGAAGGAGACCCAGAAATTGATGCGGGACGATATAGGAGACTAGTTGGAAAACTCCAATATTTGACAGTGACACGACCGGACATAGTCTATCCAGTGAATATTCTAAGTCAATTTACATCATCACTGAAGCACTCACACATGGTGGCAGCTGAGAAAGTCTTGCGCTACCTAAAATGCACAGCTGGGCAAGGCATCTTACTAACGTCAGAAGGGTCGTTACGACTTGAGGCATACTGTGATGCTGATTGGGCTGGATGCCCATTAACTTGACGATCATGCGGTGGCTATCTTATGTCATTGGGAGGCTCGCCTGTTTCATAGAGAACAAAGAAGCAGCATGTAGTGGCAAAGTCATCAACAGAGGCAGAATATAGGGCAATGGCTTGTGCAGTGAGTGAAGTGATATGGCTTCGCTGGTTACTTAAAGAACTACGAGAGCCACAGTTAAAGGCGACTCCTCTCTATTGTGACAACCAAGCAACATTACATATTGCCATGAACCCAGTATTTCATGAACGCACCAAACATGTGGAAATGGATTGCTATTTTGTAAGAGAAAGATACCAATCAAGAGAAATAATACCGCAGAAGATTTGGACAAAGGATCAGCAAGCAGATATGTTCACAAAAGCTCTTGGAAAGGATAGACTCAAGGGACTGCTAGACAAGTTGGGCATCGCAAATCCACATGCACCAACTTGAGGGGGAGTGTTGGAGATCACCGAATATAATGCCAAGGATATGGGATCAACGAAATATAAGGGACAGCGATAGATATGATATTTCTGTTATTATTATAATAATTGTAGAGATACAATAGGATATTCACCATATCACGCGACACCACGACTGTATACTTGTATATATATAGATGCTCTATCAGTAAATGAATATATCTTCTCCTCTACAATCCCGATTTCTTCATAGTGGGCCAAATCTTCTGTTGAGAATGAGGTCAGAAGTATGATCTGCTCAAACTGAGATGTTGAAGATATGCACCACCTGACGTCTTGCATGTTGCAACGTGACTGTATACTACAAGACCCTTCGTGCTTGGTTGGACCCGTTGGACCAGAACAAAGGGGACAAGCCGTCCCCTTTATGACTGCTTTCATGTTTAATTCTCTTGAGTTATGAATGGTCTTAAATCTTGCCTCTCACAAAATAATAAATTAAAATTCGGATCTATATTAAAAGAATTATTCATATTTATGAGCCAATAGTGTTTCAAATATAATTACCTCCTCTTTAGCAAACTATCAATATAAGGGTAAATTTGCAGTGTTATCCTCTATATCTTTCTAATGTTATAGACATTAACCAAATCATATTAATAAAACATTGCTTAAATCAATGTTAAAAAATTTAATTTTTTTAAATTAAAAACACCCTTTAAGAAGAGAAAGTGTAAGAGAAAATAAGCAAATTACTCCTTTCGATACAAAATTTAAGATAAACTTTATCTATTTATGTTTATTAAGAAATTAGTAAAAATCAGTTTAAAATAATAAATATGGAAGACATATATTTTCTTTCCCAAATATATCCTTATGAATGAAGAAAATAAGTAAAAAGTGTAATAAATGACTTACAAAGGAAAAAGAATATATGTTATGAGTAAAATTAAAAAAAAAAACACCATTAAATGCTCAGACAAAAGTGGATATTATCTTATAAAAAAAATGAAACTCCTCTATTAAATTTAAATCGAAGGGAGTACTAGATATTAAATGAAATGATGTTAACATATGAGTAATTAAATTAGAGCAAAATAAAAAATTTTAAAAAAATGAATACCACATCTTAATGTTTTTTATAAATAAAAACAAGGTATTTTAAAAATTGTTTCTGGTAAAAAGAAAAAAAATAGAGGATATAAGACCTGAGAGATAATTATTTGTTAAAATCCGCATGTGGTTTTTAATTGCTTTATTAATGTAATTAATAGGAAAAATAGTAAAAAAAAGACCTCAAAGATAAAAAAAAATTGCAAACAAAAATTAATTTATAATATTAGTATTGGTTCTGAAAATAATTGATAAGCAAATAATAATAATTTTTGTGAATGGGCCTTTATATGTAATTTTTTTAACCTTGAAGCTTTTTTTTTTGTTGCGATTTTTCCTGATTAATATTATCAGTTGGCCAAAAAAACTACTGTTATTTGTGCGTCCCTTGGTTGACCTGGCCAAAAAGGGTTGTCACTGTGTTGACAACGAAGAAAAAAGAAAACTTTGTTGTCAGCGTAATTAATTGGTTGAGAATTAGAATCGTCCGATGGATTCGAAGTCAGCGTGCTAACCCAGCTTCGAATCAGTCTCGCCTCTTCTTCTTCGCTTCATATCCAGGGACGCAAAGCAGAGAAGTTAGAAGATCGAGTTCTCACCATGAAAGTGCTGCTTCATTCCGAACCTTCTTTCTCCCATTCTCATTTGATTTTCTCCAGCAAAACTCGAAACTTCACTCGTGCCTGGGTTCAGCCATTTCCAAAACTCCGTATCAAAGATCGTGATGGCTGGATTGGACGAAAGCTTCATTTTACTGCCAAAGCTACATTAGATTCGGCCATCATCGAACAATTAGGGATTACGGAGTTTGATATTCGGAATCCTTCTTTGTCTTCTTCTTATCGCAGCCCAGCATTGCCGAAACCGAATCAAACAGTGTTGGAAGCTCAAGCTAGGGTTTGTACTGGGCCTACACAGACTAGGCCGCTTGGAGAGGATCAGGCTTTTAAGGTTCTAGATACAATTTTAAGATCAGGTATTCCTTCCGTCCATCTATTTAGTATATATATCCTTCGTTCCCATTATTCAAGACTATCAAGTCATGGATTATTCTCTAATAATAAAACAGCTTGGTTTGTGTGCGTGCTTTAATCTCAGCCAGGGGAGAGCTCAAAGATGAAGATGAAGTTTCTAAAGCACAACTTGGGGCATTTTTTGCTGGAATGACGATCCGTGCAAATGCCTTTCCTGAAGAAACCCAGTGGAGTGAAGGCGAAACGCGGGCAATGAAGACGTTCTGGCCGCTTCTGGTTCGAGTGCTTCCATCTGATATAATATTCATAGCTGAACCTGAAGGATCAATAATGGGGGTTGGAAATTCAATTGGCCCACAATATGTTGGAAATAGCACAAGTGAAATGAGATTGGTTGGTGCTCTCAGGGAAGTATTAGCCGGAGGCCATCTTGGATATGAGGAAGTCCAAGGAGTATTGAGAGAAGTTCTCTTCAAGTATGGAGGAGAATCACCGGGAGTAAGTGATGCATTGCTATCAGCATTTTTAATTGGTCAACGTATGAACAGGGAGACTGACCGTGAACTAAAAGCATATTGCCTTGCATTTGATGATGAAAATGGTATAAGTTTTAGTCCCATTAGTCAATTTGATTTTGACTTTTGTTCAATCATCACATTCTGAATTTTTATCAGCGCATTTCCCGATTGTTAATGCTTTCACTTGTCGTTTTCTAGGTCCCACTCCTGTAGCTGATGTCACATCGTTGACGCATTACGGTGAACCTTATGATGGAAATACACGATTCTTCAGGAGCACATTATTTGTCTCTGCAGTTAGATCCTGCTATGGAGAATCTTGCTTGCTTCACGGAGTAGAATGGATGCCACCTAAAGTGTGTTTATTCTGCTCCTCTTAGGATCTCAAGTTTGTTGTTTCCATCACAAAACCTGGATGTTTTTACGGTCGTTCTGTTTTTTACACGTTCTCAGAACTGACTACTGAGTGTGCAGGAGTAGATTTTGTTATTAAATTTGATATTTCATATCTAGTAATACTTGCCATCTCTCATACTGAGGATCCCCTTATTTCACTAGTGCACTATCATTGTTTGTTTTTCAGGGCGGTGTTACTGAAGAGCAAATGCTGAAGTTTATGGGAGCAAATACCAACTTATCCCCATTGAAGGCCAAAAAACTTCTCGAGGTCTCTTTGGTCCCTGCAATATATGCAGCATAATTTTTTTCTCATTATCTTCTTTCAGCCTCCGTATACAATCTTTGTACTGACTTCTTTCCAGGATGAAGAGGTTGGTTTTGCTTACTTAAGTCAGCGTGAAGCTCGCCCATCTCTGTAAGTTTATTTAACCAACTTTATTAATCTAAACCTTGTCTGTGCTGTTCATTTGCATAGACACTGGTCTTTTCCTCCTGTGAGAAGAATGCATGACACTTTGAAAACTGAAAAAGCGCCTCAGTGGTTGATTTTTGAAAGTGTAGTTTCGGGATCACTTAATCATTATACAATTACTGACCATGTCTGTCTTTGTCATATAATAAAGAAAGGCTAGATGAGAGTAATGGATAATCAGTGGTATCTGGCATTAGCTTTCTAATGTTGAAGACCTTTATTGGACTATGTGTTGACAATTTCTTCTCTCGTAGTTTAAATTTTAAAGCTAATTTTGGATTTTGTAAGGAAGCTCGGTCTGGATTATTCAACAGGATATCTGGCATACTCTACTAACTATAATTGCTATTTTTGCGAAGAATGAGAGTATGCTATGCTTGTCTCCATGTGTGTGGCCTTAAGGATTAGTCCTTTGATCTTATTTATAAGTTATTTTAGGCATTTTTCATGGAAATCAAGAAAAACCTTAAACTTCATTAAGTCAACATTAAAATTTGACAATTTTTCAACTTTACCCCCATTTAATATATACACTTTCCAAGAAAATAACAATATACATGATGATAAATTAAGGGCAAAATAGTACATTCATGTTGCAAATTTCATGATGTGACTCATAAATAGGTCCCAAAAAAAATTTCCCTCTCTGCCTTACTAATAGGACTAAAAGAGTATGTTTAAGATGATGGTTGAACATTCAGCTCAGGGGGAAAGAAAAAAAGATGATGGTTGAACATGCAAGTCTTTTCTGCAGCTACTCATTAATCGGAATTAGGGAGCACATAAAAAAACGCCCTCCACTTGCAACAACTGAAAAGGTTCAGCAGCTTGTAAAGGTGGGATTAGTATTTCTTTCGACTGTGATGCTGGCAAGTTTCTGCTGTTGTTTTTTTGTTTGCTCTTTTTGATGCGACATTTTCATGCTAGGCTTTCTAGCAGTAGCGGACCATCTAATTTGTAGCTCTGCCTTGCATGTATAGTTTTGTGGCAAATGATGACATTTTAAAATTACTTTATTGCTGACATTCTGTGATCAATATAATTTTATTAAAGACCATGCATTTTGACATTCATATATTCCTAAATTCAAGATATACAATGCTTTTAGTCCTCCTTTCTTTGGTGTGGCCAGAATTCTCATGTATTTGTAAACAGTGCTAGGACATGAAAGCTTTGTTGGGCAAGAGAGTATATAAATCGTGATAACTTGGTTTTTAATAATTAAAATCAGAAAATAAAAATGATGGGCACCAGGTTGATCAAGATAAAATTTTGTATTTTGATTGTGAATTCTGAAAGAGGAAACTATAAGTAGGTGAATTGGTATCTATAATCCAGAGGCAGACGTAATGAATTGAACAAATCAAAGGGGTGTAAAACATTGCTTGTTTTTCCTTGTTTCTGAATAATATCACCATTTGTTTGTATATTTATTTATCTATTTATTTTGAATAGGCTCGTGGCAAGGAAGCGATTGTTGCTGGGTTTTATCATGAGGGTTATGAAGAGCCATTGTTAATGCTCATGAAAAGAAGGGGTGTTCATTCTGGTTTGGTGGTGAAGGTTGGGATTTCACCTTTAATTCATCATGAATTGTGAGCATTTCCATAAATCAACTTTTGGTTGAACTACATAAGCCATTTTAATCTCCTCTCACTCAGAATAGTCAAATCATTTTAGTATTTAAATCAAAAGACCTTATAAAAGAAGCCACTTCACATATATCTGAGGATACTCAAATTGCAGGGTGAGGAAGGTGCCCTCTCAATGACAACGAGGATGAGGTCAGCTAGCACAACTAGAGGACTTCCTGTGAACTACTGTTCAGGGTTCCGCTCACTGAACATTTCATCTGCATCCGAACTTGATGGTCTGTGTTTAGTTGTCATGTTCATTTTGAGGGTTGAAATACTAATAAAGTAGAATGACTCTTTGTATAATCTTTTTTCCCCCCATTTTTCAAAATGCTTAACTTGATGATAAATTTTACTGCTAAAAGAAACTAATTGGCTTAATGATACTTTTGGTCCACTCTATCGTGGATTGATGTAGAACATTGATGTTCTTATTGCAGGAGTGTCACGTCAAGGTTTTTCTCTTGAGGTCAATGCCCAAGACTATGGTTTTCAACCAACAGATACACCAAGAACCGATAGATCGGTAAAGTGCTTGAGATCCTTTGTGATTGTTGTCCCTCTTTCCTTCTATTTTATGCTTGCATCTGGCATTTACTAAATATTACCTGTATGTCATTTTCCCTAGCATCTAGATTGTTCCATTTTCCTGGAATATCCAAGACAGACTTCATTTTCTATTGCAGTGTGTTTAAAATTTGCATTGATTGCCAAGTTTTTCTTCTGTTCCCTCCTCATGTGATACAGCTGATAGTAATTGCCCTGGTCTCCAGATCAATCAACTGCGTTTGATTATTTATTTATTGGCTGAATGTGTTATTTTCTTCTGTCAGTTCTCAGTGCTCTAACTTGTCTCCTATCCCCTGTCTGCATAAATCACGTATGCATTTTGTTGGAGTGTTACTAGTTGTGAATGAAAAAGGTTTTGCATAAATAGATGGTTTCCATTTCTAAGCAATAATATAGTTCTACTTCTGCGAGGTATTCTCCATTGAGCTTTCTTTTCGCTACCAAAAAGGATACATTTTGAAAATTGCAACGAACTTCTTGTATTACATAACTGACGTACCTCTATGCCAGTAACAATATCGACTCCTTGCACATTCATGCATTACTAATTTATTTAGAATATATGGAGGGGCCTAAATAGTTGACCCTTTGACCAGCATACTTTCATTGAACTTGGCCTTTTGAGATACCTAGACTGAATTTTGACTTGTAATGATGTACTTAATGTCAATGCAGCATTGTCTGTTGTATCATTAATGGCAGGATGTCTCCCATATTTGTAGTCTGGATGCTAGCAGTAGTGTGTTTAAAGCCATGACTTCTAATCCTTTCTTGAAATTTAGGTCTCGAAGAATATTGGATTGGGTTTAGCAGCTCTTGGTGGAGAAAAGGGACCGGCATATGATCGAATTGTCTTAAACGCCGGTATGGTGGATCACTTGCTTGGAGTTGATGGTGCTGAAGACATATCTGTAGCCTTAGATAGAGCTAGAGAGGCCATTGACAGTGGTAATGCTCTTAAACGACTTTTAAACTACATTAAGATTTCCCATGAAGTGGATTAAACTAGTCCCGAGTGGTAGAAGTACTTGTCATTTACAATGCACTTGATATGGTGATCATGGTTGGAAGAGGAAGGAAAATTATCAGATGGATAAACCCTAATCCAAGGGAAAGGATGATAGAAAGAAACAGTTCTTTTACACGCCATTTTGGTACTTTAGGTTACCCTCAGTGTAAATGTACCTCGTGATAAGGAATCACGAGTGATTTTGAACCTTACCAAGTGACGTTGTCTTGTAAGTATTCGAAACGTCATATAGTAAATTTTTTTTTTTTGTGGGGATACCTTCGTACAGTCAATTTTGGATATTCTGGTGTTAGATGGTTCTTTCATGTAAAGACCGTAAAGATTTGTGATTTCTTCCTGGATTTGCTAATACGGAGTGAAACTTTGTTTTGATTATATTACAGGAGATTGAATTTTTGATCGCTACTCCCACTTTATGATCCTCTGGTTTTCATTTCTTATGATTTCTGGTTCAAAAAAATTTCTTATGATTGTAGACTTCATAGTAAATTTTGGGTACTTTTCATTTTCCATCTTACTTTTAAGGCGTCATGCTCAGAATGTCGTCCAATTTTGGTGCACTTAATTGGGAACTTTTTGTCGTCATGCCGATAAAGTTCATGAGTAGTAATGGGGATGTATGGTGAAAGTGCTAAAAGGGTCAACTATGTTAGTCAACACGTGTTTTCAACACGAGTTTGCTAAACAATTGAAGAAAAGGAAAAAAGAAAGAAATTCTTTGTTCTACTTCGTATGAATGTGACTGATACGGTGATGCTCTATATGGTCTATTCTGATTAACATAATTTAACTAATTAGAAGAATAAACAAAGTACTTGTATGCACGCTTCTTGAAGAACCATGAGGATTGCCCACATTTCTGCCGCGGTGTAAGGATAAAATCCGATTTACCTTGCAAAGCCAATGATCCGGGTATCTTTTGCATCTCTTAGCTATCCCCTCACATCTTACTCTCCCTTGATCCGTACAGGACCTGTGAAATTACGATATGCTTAAAAATACTTTGAAAACCTTCAAACTTAATATTAAAATAAAAATATGTTTATAAATTAATATATATCTTGAAATCAATTGTAGATTCTTAACATCACCGAAACCATCAAAATCTGAGGCAACATCATTTACAGATAGAGGAACATTGTTAGCTGCGTGGATATGTTTCTGAATGCAGAGAGCACCAATTCTTGAAGTGTGAGTTTGCTAGAGCTCCTTGATGGGTTTGCGGACTTGGTTGAGAATGATCGTGGCAAGTTTAAAAAGTAATGGATCAGCTTTATCTTATATATTATTTGGTTTTATAAAAGAATGTTGCACCTGGGGAAACTAAAGAGTAAATTTAGAGTCAATGACCTTATAATCTAATGTCATGAAAGCTCTTGTGTAAGTGCGAGGTTACACATTTGATCTTGTTTGTAATTTCAAATGCTTTTAATTTAAAAAGAAAAGAAAAAGCCAATTCAAAATGCAGTGAGTATGACATTGACTTGACTTTGAAATGGCAAGGATATGCTACTGCTCAATTTGGAAAAGAGCAGGTAAGGGAGCTTAGGGTCCTAGCACAGATTAGGGAAAGGAGGGTGGTTCGTTTCAATTTCATCTTACAAAAAGAAAATAATGGGAAACAGGAAGAGTTGCTTCTCATCGACCACAATTTTCTTCCATCGATTGGAGAATATGAAATGGACTTCGTACGCTAATCTTCCAGCACTCAGAAGAGCTCTTTGTTTCCTGAAGCATCAGAGAGATTTTTGGCCAAGTTCCCTGCGTTTAATTAAATTTCTGATGAGTATTAATGTATTATCCTATTTTCTCTTATAATTTCTGATGAGTTCATTGATATTACAAATAATGTTCCAGCGAGTGTTGAAAAGAGATTGTGTTCATTTATTCACCTCTTTTATTGACTCTAATCCTAAGAACTAGATAAGAGATTTATTTTGATCCTCAGTGTAATATCTTAATTTATTTTGTTTTACAAATTTATAATTTTTTTTAAATGTCCCTATTGATTGCATATAATAAATAAATTCTTATGAAGGGTTGATTACAATGCATATGATTAAAAAAAATATTGCAAGTAAATTAATGCATATTTCTTATAAAAACTAAACTAAATTTCTTAATATTTTCAAATTATTTATCTAATTTTTATTTTACAGAATAGTTTGTGTTTTGCTTGAAGATACTTCAATGGGTATGAATTTACTAACTCAATCGAAATGATGTTGAAGATGTTTCCTCCATATTGTGCATTTAGGACTATTATCTTTTCTTTATTTTATGTAATTCGGTATAATTACTGTCTCTGGGTATTCGTATGACTTGGTTATTTTGGATCACACACACACACATGAATGATTCTGGAGAATAAAAAAAAAAGGAAATGACAATTTGGACCAAAAATTTCAAAATTTCAATGAAGAATTTTAGCTTTCGCTGACATTTAAATGCCAATTGAGAAAAATACTCCTATACACATATAAATTAGAAATTCTAGAAACAAAGTTGAAAGTCCTAAAGTCTAAGTTGAAATAATTTTCAGTTAATTATTTTCATATTCATTTTCTAATTTTAAAAATTACATATGTTACGCTGAAAGCCTGAAAGAGAACAAGATATTCATATTGAAAATTCTATAAGAATGAAGATAATTCCCATTGAAACTTTCAATAAATTTTTTGTTGGTGGGAATGATTTTCTGAAAAGTACGAGAAGAAGAAATAAAGAAAAAAGTAGTGCACGATGTCTTCAAGGCGTAGATAACACTTTTAGACTTAATTCGCTCCCACCTATTCCTATATTATAAAGTGCAAGTTGGGATGCCCGATGAATTTCTTTCAGAATACAATGAAGACCCTTGAATATGGATTATACTTCCAAGATTCAAGCAGAGACAACAATGGCTTGTACAAAGTAATAATTTGACTCTATCTCTGCATGCACTCTAAGACAAAGACAATGAGTTTGATCTTAGTGTTTGTGTTGTGTTATCTTTTGTCCCAATGAAATTACAGTAAGAGGTTTATATAGACCATGAAATGATGTTTTGAAGAAATATATTTTGGAATAATACCTTATTAAATAAACAGTCACAACCATATGTTAGTTCATAAACCAACATAATTTAAATAAATACAATGTATTTAATGTGTATGGTCTTTTAGAGTTTTAACTTCCTACATAACCCTTGACATAAATATATTAATTTATATAAGAACACAACCCTTCAAATAAATTTATTAGTTTATATGAAGATATCACATTATCATCCCTCATATATTTAATAAATTTATATAAGAACATAATTTTTAAAAAGCACATCTTTTCGTTTTAAAAATATTCCAACAATTTTCAACTTATATGTGAATATAAACATTTTTGTTTATTGACCTTCTTGAATTATTTATTGACTTTTTTTAAAACAGTCGTAATCGTAATAATGAACGAATATGAAAGTTCTTAAATGACATTTTAGTTTCAAGAACTTATTTTTCAAAACAAAACAAAGAAAGAAAGTCATTACTGCCACTGATATGTGATGGCGTCCTTACCATACATCGTTTGATAATATGCAAAACAATTCCTTATGAATATTATTTTCTTAATAAGGTTAAGCTCGATCTAACACCCTAAAACTAGCACTTTAAATGTTGGCAAAAAAAAAATAACATTTTAAAATATTTCGTGATTTATTCCACATTCAAAAACATTTTTCAGTTGTGAATAATATCTTAAAATATTTTATGATTCATTTGCTATGTTAAAATATTTTTTTGAGATGTGTGCAGCATCTTACTACTTTAAAGACAAAATTGCATTCCAAAATATTTTAGGATGTTAAACTGATTAAAAAAAACTACTTTAAGATGTGAGATATACTGCAAAATGCTTTACATGCTAAACACATATTAAAAAAATATTTTAATGCGATAGATTAACTTTTTTAAAAAATTATAAATTTTAAAAACAAAATGAATTGGGTGTGCTATAGCACAATTCACAACAAGCAAACTCGTGCATTTGACGGCCGAAGAGTTATAAATTTCACTCAGTTTCTATTTTGTCCGTCATCAGCTCCATCCCTCATCTCTCTATGAGAACGTGAATAATTTCATTCCACGACCACGACCCTGAGCGAGGGAGGTTAAAAGTTAAAATGGAGAAGAAAAGCTAAGCCACAGTTGGTTTGTGCGCAAAGAGGAGAATCTGATAAATAAATAGGAGCCACTCCTCTCAGAGAGAAAGTGACATCAATATTTGTCGAGCAGCGACTTCTCTTAAGGCCAGGGCTCTGTTATCTCTCAGGAGGCTTTGGGCCACATTTCTTGCTCCAGCATTATCCCTTCGATTTTGATTTAGAGACTCCAATAATCCATTCAAATCATTCAGTGGTTCTGCTTCTGCCATTTTGTTCGCTTACTGCCACTCCCATTTTAAAAAAAACGTTCCTTTTTCCCATTATACAAATAGGAAAAGTCTATATTCCGTCAGACACGCATAACGCTCTATACTACTGTGTTGGGTTTCTTGCTGGACATTACAAGCGGCTCGAAGCCAACCTCACAGGTAACATTTTCTATTGCTTTAGTTATGTGAAATACATTTGTTGTGAGAAAGCTAAAAAGCAAACCTTTTTGCCTTTTCTTTGAACTGGGTTTGTGTTTTGTTCTCTTAAACTTGAAGGGTTCGTTCATAATTCTGGTTTGAAGTGGCTGTACTCTGCTCTGAGTTGACTTCGATTTTCTTCGACGTGTATCGTTGTGTACTGAATATTCTCGTTTTTATGATTATGTAATCATGTCATCGAAGCCATGTACAGTCGTTGTGTTATAGGGTCAATCTGAAAAGTGAGAATTTGATGAGTTCATCTGTTCTAGATTATCAACTTGTAAAAAGCTACCTTCTCCGTGTTTATCTTGGGAATATAGGTTTGTAATTATACGGGCTTCTGATCTAATTGGATTTGCTTCTGCAATCTTTGGGGTTCTAACGATTCTTATATGGAAGTGACGGGGACTATATGGGACTTGACTTATGGGATTCTAACAAGTCTTAAATGAAATTTGGGTTCTCTATGGTAGCTTTTGTGGTGCAACTCTCCAGAAGTTCATATCAATGGCAGGGAAACGTCGATACCAATATAGGTAGCGGATACAACACTAACATGGTTGCAACAACATGATGAAGTGTGTTTGGGATCTAAAATGTCGAATATGTGTGTGTGGTGTCCAACTTGAAAGCCCTACATGTTTTGAATATAGACACACTTTTTTCACGTGTCTGTTCATCTAGGTAACAAAGCTTTGCACTACCTTTCATCCTCGTTCTTTTTTCCCTCTCTTGATTCTTGAGCGAATGAGACGTACAAGTTAGAGGGCATGAAGAAATGTCATGACCCAGTTCCA